GAAAGATAGAATTTTATACAAAATAAATAACGTTAAGTCTATAAAAGTGAAATCAAAAATGACGGGTGCAAAGTCGGCGTCGTGGCCGTTGTTGTTCAAGAGACGAATTTAACTTTTCGAGAATGATAGTAATGATAATGAGATAATGATCGTGATAGTGATCGTGATGATGATGATAATGATGATGATAGATTAGAAGAGAAGGAATGAGAGAAATGAGGAAGAAATAGTGAAAGGTTGAGGTGTATAAATTGATTTCAATTGGCCTTCTCTGCTCGACTCGTTCTCGTTCATTCGTTCACTCGCTCGGTCGTTCGCCCACTGTTGCTGCTTTTGTTGTTGTTGTTCTTGTTGTTGTTCTTGTTGTTAATATTCCGCACCAGGGCCAAGATTATTATTATTATCATTGTTATTCTTGTCAAAGAACGCTCACGATACGGAGGAAGAAGAAGGATGATGATGGTGATAGTCATGTTCATAGTGATGGTGATGGTGATGATGATGGTAATGGTGATGATGGTGGTGGTGGTGGTGGTGGTAGTGTTGGTGGCGTTGTATAGGGAGAAAACGAAAAATTAAAAAATGCGTGGTCCACGCGGCGCAAGCCGCCACCGCGTTCCATCTCGCTTTTCTTGTCTCTCGTTGAGGGGGGACTCTCGCGTGATGTTTTCTTTTGTTTAGTTACTTTTTCTTTTTTCTTGTTTTTTTTTTGTTTTGTTTTATTATTATTATTATTATTATTATTATTATTATTTATTATTATTTTATTATTATTTATTATTTATTAATTTATTATTATTATTATTATTATTATTATTATTATTATTATTATTTATCATTATTATTATTTTTTCACTGGCGTTGCGTGTGGTATTTTATTATTATTATTATTATTATTATTATTATTATTATTATTTTTTATCTTTTTTCTCTGTACGTGTGTGTTCTTATATTTTTTTTTCAGACGTCCGTGCGCGAGTATCTCTCAGTTCCTTCTTTTTTCTTGTTTTTCCTTTTTTTTTTCGTGTTGTTTTGTTTTTTTTTTCTCTCCCGTTAATATTTTAATGGAATTAATTAAATACCACGTGCGCGTTTGACGATGTGCGTTTATACGTTGAAAACGCAACGTGCGAGATTATCGTGAATTTGGCTGACTCTGCTTGCTGCTGCTGCTGCTCTTGCTGTTGCTGTTGCTGCTGCTGCTGCTACTACTTTTGCTTTTGTTTTTGCTTTTACTTCTGCCGCTGTCCCTATTCCGATACAATCGCTTCTTTCTTTCTTTCTCTCTCTTTCTCCTCGTACATTGACTTTTTTTACCACGTGCCAGTACCTTTTTCTTTTTCTTCTTCTCTTCTTCCTCCTCCTCCTTCTCGTTCGAATAATCACACAAGAGTGCGACGATTTATTTATTTATTTATTTAGTTATTTATTTATTTATTTACTTCGCTCGTCGCGCCTCGCGTCGGCGTCTTTATCGGCAGTGAACACGCTCGGAACCTTACGTTCGGGTCAGGTTATTTAAAAGTTCTTTTTCTTTTCTTTTTTTTTTTCTTTATTATTATTATTATTATTATTATTATTATTATTATTATTATTATTATTATTATTATTTTCATTTCTTCTTCGTCTTCTTCCTTTTTTCTCTCTTTTCATTTTGTATATATTTTTCTTCTTCTTTCTCTTCTATCTTCTTCTTCGCTTTTTCTTTAGACGACCATCAATGTCTAAATCTCGTTGACGATCCGTTCTTCTTCTTCTTCTTCTACTTTTTCTTTTTCTTCTTCTATAATCTTGTTTCAAAAGGATCGTCAAGCCGAGTCAACTGCTGATGTTGCTTCCTTTTGAGCAAGCCTCTTCTCGTATCAAAGGGGTTTGCATCATCTGAACAACATCATGCAACTCCCTTGAGAAAGAAGAAACCAAGAAACAAGGAAGCAACGCGTTCTCGCGAGCGAGGGCGAGAGTAGTAGTTTCGACGACGACGACGACGACGACGACGACGACGACGACGACGCCAACGACGACGACGACGACGACGACTCGAGACGAGGGACCGTCTTTTATGTTTTATCTTTGTTTTCTTTTCATTATTATTTATTTATTTATTTATTTATTATTTATTATTATTATTATTATTTTTTTGGTACTTCCGGTACTACCTTTCGCAAACTGTCTTAATTAAACTCATCTCACACCATTTTCCTTTCTTTTTTATTTCTTCGAGCTTCTTCCTGCTTCTTCTTCTTCTTCTTCTTCCTCCTCCTCCTCATTATCTCTTCTTTTTCATTTTTCTTCTTATTTCTTTCTTTCTTTATTTTTTTTCTTCTTTTTTTGTTCCTCTTCTTCTTCTTTTTCTTCCTCTTTCTCCTCTTCCTCCTCTTCTTCTTCATCTTTTTCTTCTTCTATCTTCTCATTTATGTCTCAAATTCGGCATCCGAACGATGGTAATTGTTTGACTTAGAAGCGTTCATACTCGCGGGTAACCTTGTCGCCGACTTTGCCGCGTCGCCAGGTTAAGTCGACGATTATGCGTCTACGGTAGTCTTTTTTACCACCACAACCCAAAACGTTCTTAGAGTCGTTGCTGCTGCTGCTGCTGCTGCTGCTGCTGCTACTACTGTTGCTGTTGTTGTTGCTGCTGCTGCTGCTATTGCTGCAATTCTTGTGCTTCTTCTTTGTGCCATTATTGTTGTTACTGTGATTGTTGTTGTTGTTGTTATTATTATTATTATTATTGTTGTTGCTGCATTTGGTTCCGTTACCGCTGCTCGTCGGATATCCAAAATTTCTGATCAGCTTTACCTCCGGTGTACCCGGTGGTTCGTTGACCGATGATGTCGCGACTGCTGGCACGCCGGCTTGCTCCGTGATAAGATGATGGTATCTAATACTTATACTGTACGCGGACTGGCTGCAGTTGGTTCTTTGGAGGAACGTCTTGGGGGGAACCCCAAGTTAGTTCCAAATGCGAAGGAACGAATCCCAAGAGCCCGTCGCTACTGCCATACCATCTTCCGTCACTCCAAGGCAAGACACACGATTGTCATGCCCGGCAAGTATACCTAAAGAAATGGAGTTAGATTTTTCATCAATTCATTTTCGTGTTTATTAACTTCAAATACAATGGGGGAGGGGACTAAGCTAATCCTTATGTCAATTGTCAATAATATAGTATCTAGAAGAATAAAAAAGAAAGATTGATAAATGGATAAACTTTGTGAGAGAAGAGAAGAAATAACAGAGAGAAGGCCCTAATCAATAATTTCTTCTCTCTCTTCTAAAAACAAAAGAAACTTATTTTATGACAAATGATAATAGAGAAAACCATACCAGCTCGTTCGGCTTTCATGGAATCCCATACGTTGCAATTGAAGTCGTCATAGCCAGCTAACAACAATCTACCGCTCTTGCTGAAAGCTACGCTCGTAATACCGCAAATAATATTGTCGTGGCTATACATCGCCAGTTCTTGATCCGCTCTAATGTCAAAGAGTCTGCAAGTAGCGTCATCCGAACCCGTCGCGAAAGCATATCCGTTAGGGAAGAACTGTATACAAATATTAATGTTTTAACGAATGACACAAAGCATCGTTCGTCGACCTTGTTGTTGATTTTTTTTTTTCTTTTGGTTTTTTCGAAGAAATCCTTAAATCCGCGACAATGATTATCATTGACAAAACTATTGATTTTTCAATAACGACAGAGAAAAAAAGAATAAATAAAATATATATATATATATACATGTATATATATTTTTTACCGTAACGGCATTTATATCACTCTCGTGTCCAGGGAAAGTTTGTTTACAAGATCCTTCACGAATATCCCAAAGTTTTGCGCTAGCGTCGCACGCACCGGAAACGAAGGTGCGTGTATCGGGAGCCAGCGAGAGGGACATTACGTCTCCTGTGTGCCCGATGAACGAAGTGCATTGTTGACCTGTCTCGATGTCCCATAGAGCACTGAATCAAAAAGTTTGAAAAGGTGTATTCAAATTCATTCATTTAAAGACGTTATATTATTCGTTACAAATTTTTATAACTTATATATATCCGACAAATTTGTTCGAAAGATCCTACAATAAAAAAAAAAAAAAAAAAAAAAAAAAAAAAAAATTCTGAATATTATATTCTTATATTTCTGATTATAATTCAGAGACAGAGAAAGAGAGAAAGAGAGTTTTCAATGATCTTTCTTACCAGGTCATGTCACCCGAGCTAGTGACAATTTGGTTGTCGTCGTAAAATCGACAACAGGACAAGTATCCGGTATGTCCTGGTAATTCTCTGCTGACCCGTACATTTCCTTCTCTTGTCTTAAGGCTATAAATGGAACATATGTTGTCCAGGCCACCGCAAGCCACGTAACTACCCGACGGTGCATACGCGCAGGTCATCACCCAGGAGGAACGTAGAGGGATGGCGTGTACCTTGTTGGTCGTATAACTGTCCCAAACGATCAGCTTGCCGTCTTGCGAGGCGGATACTAGGTTCCTACGAGTCAAATTACAATTTAGAATGGGACCAAAGAGAAAGAAAAGAAAGGTAAAAAAAAAAATAACAACAACAACAAAATGATTTCTTCGATCAAAAGAAAAGAAGGATTAATCATTCTGATCATACCTGGAATCACTTCCCCAATGCATGGCATAGATTTTGGCCAAGTGACCTCGCAAAGTACGTCTCGTACGCATTTGTATTCGACCAATGGGTTCCAAGCCGGCCGTCGCTTGGTCCAAACTCGTATCGCATGCTGCCTTTCTTGCATCCTACGAAAAAAAAAAAAAAAAAAAAAAAAAAAAAAGAAGGAAAAAAAAGAGAAGAAAATAATAGAGACAATTAACTTTGGACAATGAACTAATTCGTTGAAATGAATGTTCATTTGAGAAAACGTACACAGTTTTATCGATACAAGAAAGAAAAATAAGGGGAATCCTCGATGATGTTAATGATTTTTAATGAACGAATCGATACATTTTTGACCAAAAAATCATGAGACTCCTACATAAATATATATATATATATATATATATATATATATATATATGAGAATGGGAGATACAAGACGAAGGGCGAGCGAGGAAGATAGAAAATACATAGAGAGAAAGAGAGAGAGAGAGAGAGAGAGAGAGAGAGAGAGAGAGAGAGAGAGAGAGAGAGAGAGAGAGAGAGAGGAGAGAGAGAGAGAGAGAGAGAGAGAGAGAGAGAGAGAGAAAGAAAGAGAGAGAGATGGTGGTGTATTGATCAGAGAAGCGATGGCCATGCCGCGCCCTACCACCACCACACGGCACCACGGCTAGTGACTAGCGTGTCTCCACCACCACCACCACCACCTCCACCACCACTACTACTCCACCGCCATATATAAAGCTCCATGGTGCACGCTATGCTTAAGATTTTTTCTGCTTAGGAGCAGTGCTTCCGTTATTACGCTACTTCCACCACCCTCTATCTAAACTACCCTCTACAAATCACACACTCCCTTTTCCTTCACCCCCCTCTCTCTCTCTCCTCCACCCTTCTTCTTTGTCTCTAGTTATTCTAATCAACGAATATATCAATAATATTGCATAAATAAAAATGAAAGACCGGTCAATACAAAAATAAAAATATTATCAATGAAAAGTAAAATTTAAAGACTCGTCGGGTGTCTCGTGTTGATCTTTAAAAATTATCGTGTAAATGATGTTAGAGGAAAGATAAGTGTAAATAAATAAATATGTATTTACGTGATTGAAAAAGATGGGAGGAATAAAATAAAATAAAAAAAAAAAAATAATAATAATAATAATAATAATACAAAAAAAAAGGAGTCGGTGATCCGTTACGGGATGAATAAGGGGGGGAGGGGGTCAAGACCGTGTTCAGTGGCAAGTGCACTTCGCCCGAGAGATGCCCGAGACTTTTATCTTTTAAAACAATGCAGCGCTGTTGCACGTAAAACTGTTGCTTTGTCTTCGTCGTCGGAAAACTGAATAGAATCAGATCAGAGCAAAACAGATCAGAGTAGAACAGAACAGAACGGAACGGAATGGAACGGAACGGAGCAGAGCACATCAGTCAGAGGAATCAACAAACGATCCGACGACGACGATGAAAGAAAAAAAAAAAAGAAAGGGAGAATAAATTTGCACGAATTCTTGCCGATAAATAGAAAAATATTGAAATTTCATTAGAGAACGGAAGCCATTCCCTTCTTTCCTCCTTTATTAGCATAAAAGTCATCTGAAAAATTTTCGACATTTTTTTTTTTTTCTTTTTCTTCTTCTGCCGAATAACGTACGTTCTATTCTTCTTTCTAAAATAATCCAAATATTCAAGGTCGGCCAATTAAAGATAAAAATAAGATTGAAATAACTTAATAATACGATGACATCTAAATATATCCAAAAAATTATTTGAAAGGGATAACTTACTTTGGTGATACCGAAGAGCTACAAACAAGCTTTAGGAAGATTCGAATTTGATTGATAGCAAGCATCCCTCTTTAGGTCTGCAATCTTCTTCCAGCATGATCGTCAACGTCGTCAATGGCATTAGACGACTTTCGAGGACGGGGATAAGAAGGATCATTAAAGGAAGAAAATGGAAAGGGAACAAAAAAAAAAATAGAAAAAAGAAGAAGAAGAAGAAAAGAAAGAAAGAAAGAAAACAAGATTGGGAAAACATATCGGGAAACTTACTCGAATGGCATTCTTGAGGGTCTCCGCCTCTTGGCGAAGGCTGTCGAGCTCGTTCATGGTGCCCGTCGTGTTTGCGACTTTCTGTACTTCTCGATAGTCCGTTCAAGAAGGGTAAGAATACGTCCGTTGTATTTGGAAGATAGATGTATAATAAGCGAGAGCAGATAATTAAAACTGTCTCGCTTGACGCGCGAGTTTTGCTTGTTTTGCGACGAGGGAAGGGTAGGAGGGGGGCCTTGTTGGCCCGATTTTACGCCGGTGTCACGCCGTCGGTGTTGGTTCGTCTTCCGAAGAGGTTAGAAACTCGCCGTGAAGTTTTTTACGTTGAACGTTGGACGTACGAGGAGGTGGTGTAATAGGAGGTAAAGGTGGCGGTGGAGGAGGTGGAGGAGCAGGTGGAAGCGGAGTAGGAGGAGAAAGTGGGGATAGTAAGTGAAAAAGTAAGAAAGCAAGGACAAGGAAAATAAGAGAGAAAAATGAAGAAGAAGAAGAAGAAGAAGAAGACGAGGTAGATCCTTTCTTCTCGCGACGATGGCACTCTTCTTCTTGAACGTTCAGCGTTCCCAGTCCGCCGCCGGCTCCTAGTAGTCTTTCCACGAGTGATGCTCCTGTTATTACTGCTGCTACTGCTGCTACTGGTGCTGCTGCTGCTGCTATCTCTGGCCGAGAATAGCTTGCTACAGTTTTTTTCTCAGCTACTAACGCGGCTTCCGCTTTTGCTGCTTTTACTGCTACCACCGGAACCAGAGCCAGGCCAACGCCGACTCGTCCACCCCTCGCGCCACCTTCGACGCTTCCGAGCGAGACCGTTGCCACCCCTGAAAATGATCGTATTGCTTATTCATTGTGTCCACGCAAGTTACCTAACTCACTCCTCTCTCTCTCTCTCTCTCTCTCTCTCTCTCTCTCTCTCTCACACACACACACACACTCTCTCTGTCTCTTTCGACTTTAATATCATCGTGACGCAGCGTATATCATCTACACGCTTACAACACGATGCAATTCTTATCCTTCACTTAACGTCTTTCCCATCGAACGCTTATACGAAATGTATTAGCGAACGTCGACTAGTCAGAAATCGCACGATAAGGGACGTCTTTCGCAAATACCAGATAAATGTTCTTGCTCGTGATAAAGGCCAGCTTTCTTTTTTTTTCTTTTTATCACGGCTTTTTCCACCGATACCTCCTCCCTCTCAATCCTACCTTCCCCCCTCCTCCTCCTACTCTTTCTTCTTCTTCTTCTTCTTCTTCCTCCTTCCGCCTACAACCATCCAATTATCGTTTCTCTCTTTTCTTTTCTTTTCTTTTCTTTTCTTTCCTCTCGACGACGTACGAATTCGACCGCCGAGATCTATCGAATGCCAATTTTCAGTACTGTAGTTTACTTCATGAGGAAAAGAAAAAAAAAAAAAAAAAAAAAAAAGATGGATATGATTTTGATGAAGTTTCGACTCACCGTCATAGAAAAAAAATTATATATAAGTCAAACGAATTCTACGAATTTTATGAATCATGCTACTATAGCTAGAGGAGTTCGATATTTTTAAATAGTATTTATACGAATTATTATTCTTTTCTCGATTTTTTTTCTTTTTTTTTTTTTTTTCTACTTTACATCTCTCCACGATTTTTTTTCTTGATAAGGAAAGAGAGAAAAAAAAATGAATGAGAAAACGTTTTATCAGAGCAACCGTTATTCTTTTCCCTTTTTCATGGATATAATTTTTTTTATTATTACATTCATCCACCGTTCCCCTCCCTCACCCTTCACGAAGGATAACGGGAGAGTTTCTTAAAATCGATAAGAATCTTTTACGATGTACATAGATAAAAGTCTTGGGACGGGGGTAAGGATAAAAGGAATGAAAAAGAATGAACGAAAACGAAAACGAAAACGAAAAAAAAAAAAAAGAAAAGAACAAGGAAAAAAAACAGGAGATTAGAGAGAGAGAGAGAGAGAGAGAGAGAGAGAGAGAGAGAGAGAGAGAGAGAGAGAGAGAGAAAGAGAGAGAAAAAAAGACAAATAAAAAACAAAAGAACAAAGGAAACTTGAACCAATAGAATTTTCTCGAAAATTTCGTGCTTCGGCAGGAAAGTGGGAAGGAACGGTGGCGGCAACGAGCGTCCTTCACCTCCAAAAGGTCTCGCAACCCGGGGAAACCGAGGGTTGTCGATCCAACGCAAGGTGTTCTCATTTTCCGGAGCCGGCGAAATAGTTTTGCGCATGCGCCCTAAACATCCTTGCGGAAATGGAGATGAAACCGAGCGATTTCTTTCGATGAGACGAATTTCTATCTATCCTTGTATTTCGAAACGAAACTCCCCTCCTCTCTCCATCACCACTAACAGCACCCACTACCAACCCACCCACTTCTTCTCTCCCCCCCTCTCTCATTCTCTCATCGCTCGTCACTCGTTCGATTGTGTCTCCATATTTTTTTTTTCTTTTCCTTTGATATCAATATCTCCACGAATCACAAAGGAATAAACTGTAGGAAAAAGGAACGGATAGTACGCACAGTCTTATCTCTTTTTTTTCATTTACTTTAGATTGGAGAAAAAAAAAAAAAAAAAAAATTCAACGTATTATTTGATTTTCATGTGACGATTGTTTAAAATAATAGTCAAATGAGCACACTTAAAATCTGTTTAAATCAATCGACCGATTGACGATGACTGAATTTGAGAGAGAGAGAGAGAAAAGAGAAGAAATATAGCCGATTCGATCTTAATTCAAGTAATAGTTAGCCAGCACAATCGATTATCGATATTCCCATCTTCTTCTCCCGACGTGTTTTCGACGAACAACAGAGAGAACTCCCATATTTAACGTCACAGATATTCGCAGGGAAAAAAAATATATATAAATAAAAAAGGAAAAAAAAAAAAAAAAAAAAAAAAAAAAAAAAAAAAAAAAAAAAAAAAAAAAAAAAAAAAAAAAAAAAAAGAAAGAAAAAAAAAAGATAAATGAACAAAAATAAAAAAGAAAAGAAAAAAAGGGAATAAAGGCACTATCTCTTTCTTGGATTCACTATGGCACAATAATGACCATTTTCATGACACCCTTCTCTTAGCACCAAAATTTATTTTCAGAAAGAAATCGTAAATCAATCAATCTCGGTCAATTGGAGAAACACGTAATGTACTTAGCAATCCCCATATGTGTTATCCTTTTTGTCACCAAAAAAAAAAAAAAAAAAAAAAAAAGGAAAAAGAAAGAAGAATAAAAGCAGGAAGAGAATGAAAGAAAGAAAATGAGAGAGGGTGGGTGAGAGAGAGAGAGAGAGATATGGAAGAGGTAGAAAGAAAGAAAGAAAGAAAGAAAGAAAGAAAGAAAGAAAGAAAGAAAGAAAGTAAGCAAAGAAAGGGAAGGAAAGGAAAAAAGAAATGGCCGAAAAGAGGATGTGAATTATCGAACTTACACTCGCCTTCCCTCATCCACTCCTGTCAGAGCGTCATCGAGCTAGCACGAACATAACCTCCGCGACGAGTGCGACGTACGAAACCGTCGAAGGAGGATGAAACGGAAGAAGAGGAGAAAGAGGAGGAGAAAGAGGAGGAGGAGGAGGAGGAGGAGGAAGAAGAGAAGGAGAAAGATGAGAAGGAAGGGGAAAAGGTGGAGGAGGAAGTGGAAGAGAAGTGAGAAGCGATACCGTGGAAAATATTTGCGTCGTTCGGCGCCAGGTTGCGCTTTCTATCATCCAAAGGAGTCACGGAAGCGAAGAGAAGAGGAAGTGTTCCTTACGCGAGAAGTACTCCTCCTCCTCCTCCTTCTCCTCTTCCTCCTCCTCCTTAACGTATTTTTTACTCTTTCTTTTCTTTTTGCCCCTGCCCCTACCCTCCTACTACCCCTATATCCAACCCCATCCCCTATCCTCTTAACCGCCTCTTTTACTCACGCCGTTGAGCTTCTTGCAACAACCGGTATGAAAAACTGAGAATTCTCTCTCTCTCTCTCTCTCTTTCTCTCTCTCTCTCTCTCGCTCTCTCGCTCTTACTCGACTTAGACTTCGACGAAGGAAGGTGTGACTGACTGAAACACTCTTCTGACGAACGCGTGCCGGAGCGGACACAAGTTATTACTCCGTTCATTGGCGCGAGAAAGGTTTCTTTTTAATGTCGCGTTTACGGAACAAAACAGAAGAAAATAGAAGAAAACAAAACGAAACAGAACATCATATCGCACCGCACCGCACCGCACCGCGACGCACCGTACCGTACCGTACCGTACCGCACAACACACCACACCACTATAACATCATCACCGTGGGAGAGCGACGAATCGATGAACGACCGACCGACGTCGTCTTCTTGCCCCGCTCTCACAACCCTCCCTACACCCTCGCAACTCACTCACTCACTCACTCACTCTCTCTCTCTCACTCGCTCTCGCTCGCGCTTGCTCACGCGCTCCTCTCTGTTTATCTAACTATCTATCCATCCATCCATTTATATCTACCTCTATCTTCTTTCTTCGAAGCACTCTAGACAGAAAATCGTGCAAAAGGAAGAAAGATAGAAAGAGTGAATGAATAATACGTAAATAAATCTTGTAGTACGCGTACGTGTAGAGAGAAAGTGATTAAGAGAAAGAAAAAGAGAGTGGAGAGAGAGAGAGAGAGAGAGAGAGAGAGAGAGAGAGAGAGAAAGAGAGAAACGTAATATGTATTTTGATCGACGAATTACAATAATAAATAAAGAATAAACGAAAGAGAAACATTAGGTGTCATACGAGTTGGAAAAAAAAAAAAAAAAAATAAAAAAAGAAAGAATATGAAAGAAAGAGAGAAAAAAGAAAAAGCTTCGACTATCGCGTTCTCTTGAACCACACCCAGAGAGGATGTGGTTTAGAGAGAGAGAGAAAGAGAAAGAAGAGAGAGGAGTTAGTAGTGTGTATGTATGAGAGAAGGCCGGCCGGGTGGACGAAGAACACGCCGCGCCGTGGTAAAGGGCGATAGAAGAGGGGAAGGGGTTGCTCGCGTCAGACAGAGGAAGGGAGAGAGAGAGAGAGATAACATTGGTGGCGCCACCACGCATGCTTATCGACGCAACTACCGGCTTCGAGAGGGCGCTTCGGTCGTTCGTTCCTTGCATGACAGGTTGCCGTTCTCTCGCACGCCACCCAACAACTACTACGAAGAGAAGCATTCTCGTCTCCGTGCATTTGACAAATGATCGAATGATTTTTATTTTTTTTTCTTTTTTCTTTTCACAACTACATACGTTCTAATTCCGATATATCCAACTATTTCCCTTTTTATTTCTCTACACCTCCTCCTCTCTCTCTCTCACTCTCTCTCTCTCTCTCTCTCTCTCTCTCTCTCTCTCTCTCTCTTATTTCCTTTCTCTTTTTTTTTACTTTCCTTTATATTATTTATTTCAAATGATTAGATATAAAAATTAATCGATTTTAAATGTAAATATCCAATCGGCACACGAGAAAATATAATATCATCGATGTAATAAAGAAAGAAAGAAAGAATGGATAAACGCGGTCGATCGTTGAAAATGGACTTTAAGATTAATATTTCCTATGAGATATAATCGTACTTATTTTTATTACAATATTGAAATACGATAGAGAAGGATATAGTGTGTATATATAATATCAATTTTTTTTAAATAAAATCGATCATGCTTACGGTCCATCTCGCACACGACCCCCATATATTTCTTTCTTATCTTTTTTGTCCTCTTGTGAAAATATTAATGGTATGTATGTATGTGTATCTGCGTATGTGTGTGTGTGTATATGTGTGTTATGTTTAAAGGCGTGACTCTTAAGAAGCACTCGATATCTAATTTTGATTTTG